AATGATTTCTTGTATCGGAATCTATTGTTGGGGTAGGTTTCCTTTCAAGGGCAGGCTGGTTTCATGCTAAGCCACCAACTCAATTTGTAAGGGTAACTTAACTTGCTTACCACCAATTCCAGATGTACTTCCATTTGGCTAGCAATAATTTGTTATTTTCCACTGTTGGTGTTAAAAGGGAATCTATCACTATTGGAAATATGAAGCAAATGGAGGTGTATGGGAAACTTTCGGGCTTGGTTTCCGTTTAAACCTCCCGTTCCCGCCCCCTTCTTCACTGCGCTTTCACCTGTGCGGTGGAGCATTTTTTCGCGCCGGGTTCAGCAGGTACCTCGATGCTTCGGGAGCGAGCGGGGTGTCCCCCTGGAGATCTCCATTCATGGTGTCATTCCCCCTTTTATGGGGGATACTAAATAACTGGAATTGCTTGCCCCACCCCCCTCCCCCTTTAGGTTGGGGGGGTTGATGTGTATTCAAAGTTGCACTCATAAGCTCGGCATTTGGCGGAAGGAGTCCCTGGTTTGGACAGACTCTGCTAGGTGTTTGCATGGCCTTCTATTTGGTTATGTATCGGTGTTACGCACGGGCAAATACTCCCCACTTCAGATCCAGTTTGATTCCTCTGAGGACCTCAAAACAATTGGTTTCTGATCCTTGTTGGAGGGTTCCTTCCGTTATTGCAGCCTTTTTTTCCATCAAGCACTTGCACCAAACCAGAGCGATCATCTCGTCATGATGTCCCTCCGGTCTATCTTCATGGCCCTGATGCTGCTTTGCCCAGCCTTCGCTTCTGAGAACACAACAACGACGTCGACCACGATGGAGGAGTCGACCACCATGGATAACATGACGACGACAACAACCATGGCTACCACAACCACCGGTGGTTCAGTTTCGTTCGGCTACATGGCTACGCCAGCCTCCGTGGTTGCGGCTGTGACGGTTGGACATCTCATCAATGCCTGAAGGCTTGAAAGAACCGTTTTCATCCCAAGTCCTGCCAGCTTGACGTGATGCAAGGACATGCGCAACTGGACTTTTGAATCAGCCTTGCCCAGTGGGCAGCTGTGCACAGATTCGGAGTTCTTTAATTAGGACTTGAGTAATTCGCTCTCTCCGAGGGAGCTTTTGGATTTCTACAGTGCTGGTAATCCTCGACATGGGCAAGCAGTGCCCAAATGTGAAGTCTGCTCCGCCAGGTAGCACCACGATCCATACCAGGAGGATGCGACAATCCGCCAGGGATCAAAAGCGAGGTCCACTCACATGAAGCGGAATCAGCCTGTCGTTTCCACCATTTCCCGTGCGAATGTACTTTTGTTTGACGCTTGCACCGCCGCATTGTGTGCTTGTTGCATTTTGTGCACACGTTCTCTTTTTGGGTAGGTTTGCTCCAGACTGGGCCAGATTCGTTGCTTTCTCTGAAGCAAGCAATTGATACGGCCGAGTGTGAACAGAGGCCGTGCTGCACTCTGCTGGATAATCTCTTCCCCCTGTGAATAAATGGACCCTATTAATAAATCAGACCGCCGGGTCCCCAATACTACTTTGAGAATAGGCAAATTCAAAGCCAATACTAAACTCTCGGATTTCTTAGACCAGCTCCAGCCTCATTATGGGGCGGGTAATTAGTCCAGGACCCAAGCTCCTTGGAACAACCCAAGAACAAGCTGAGGGTGTTGTTTTGAACCAGCTGGTAATTAGACAGAGGGGCTTCACTGTCCTGCCTGCCTTGTCTCTCTTACCCTCCATGAATCTGTGCTGACCCAAGCCAACCAAAAGCCAAACATCTGTCCCTTTCAAAGTTTGTACTACAAGCCAATTGAAAAGATCGATTTTGGGCCCGCTTCAAGGGATGAGTGTCTTTGTCGCCAGGGGGCCCATCAGACCCAAAAGGACCCTATTAATAAATATGAGTCGTCCCCGAGACTGATTTTCTAGTTGGGAGGGGTTCCGGATTCATTATGAGGGGGAAGAGATTACATCTTACAAAGAGTTGACAGGTGGGATGTGGCACGGCGCACCTGGTACCTCAATGTGAGTCAATGTGGATATGCATTCAGAGTTGCACTCATATGCTCGGTATTTGGCGGGAGGAGTCCCTGGTTTTGCTACGTTTTTCGCATGGCCGTCGCCTTGAGCCCCTCTACGTTTTCGCATGGCCGTCGCCTTGAGCCCCTCTACTTTGCCAGGTGTCAGAGTTACGGAGGAGCCCTACTCCCCACCTTCAGATCCAGTTTGATCACCGCGAGGACCTCACAACAAGTGGTCACGGATGCTTGTTGAAGGGTTCCTTCCGTTATTGCAGCCTTTTTTTCCATCAAGCACTTGCACCAAACCAGAGCGATCATTTCGTCATGATGTCCCTGCGGTCTATCTTCATGGCCCTGATGCTGCTTTGCCCAGCCTTCGCTTCTGAGAACACAACAACGACGTCGACCACGATGGAGGAGTCGACCACCATGGATAACATGACGACGACAACAACCATGGCTACCACAACCACCGGTGGTTCAGTTTCGTTCGGCTACATGGCTACGCCAGCCTCCGTGGTTGCGGCTGTGACGGTTGGACATCTCATCAATGCTTGAAGGCTTGAAAGAACCGTTTTCTTCCCAAGTCCCGCCAGCTTGACGTGATGCAAGGACATGCGCAACTGGACTTTTGAATCAGCCTTGACCAGACAGGCATTCAATTGGGACTTGAGTAATTCGCTGCTGGCAGAGCCAACATGTGAAGTCTGCCATGCCAGCTGGCACAGAATGCACGTGGTACTGGTACTGGTACCACACCAGGAGAAGCAGCCCGCCGTCCGCGTGGGGCTGAAAGAAAGGTGTCTGACTGCTTGTCTCCCACCCACTTTCCTGAGGCGCCATGTTAGGCTTCTGAATTACATTGCACTCAGACTCCGTTTGACGCTCTTTGCATGACTGCTGCACTGTGTTTTTGCTGTGGCATTGTGCAGATTATGTTTGTCACACTTTGCTTCTTTGCCAGGTTGGCTTCGGGCTCGGCAATTGATGAAATGTTCTCAGAGGCAAGTCGTTGATATGTGAAGAGAGGCAGTCCTGCACTCCCATGCTGGATACATCTGACAAAGGTTGACAGGTGGGATGAGGAAGCTGAAACGCACAAGTTGTACCTCAACTGGAGTTGTTTTTTCTCGGAGCCAGTCAAGGGCAAGCTTGGGATTAGGGAGCAGTTCCTTGTCAACGGACAGACAGGCTATGTCACATGCAAACGCGTAGCGGTTGCCCAACGCAAGAAACAACCGCGAGGTGCTCGAAGCTACAGCTCATTTGCAGGCGCGAGATGTGGAGTTGGGATGAGGGGTAACTTGATTGCTGTTGGGTGGGATCTTTGGACTTTAACTTTTGGGAAATCAAGTGTTTTCCATTGAGCCCACAAACCAGTTGAACTTTTTGCAGAGGGGTCAACAGCAACCAAGGGTACCGCGGAGAGCATTTCAGGGAAGGTTCAGCACATGGAGTGTAAGAGATGTAAAAGAAAGGCTTTCAGGCAAGCTGCAAGCTGCAAACCTCGGATCCCATCACCGTGTGCGCTTAATGGAGAGGTTTTAGCATGCGACTTACGCGTTCGACGGCCTTGCCATCAAAGATGCCTCGCGCCCTGACTAGTGACTTTGTCCACGTGGCCAAGTAGCAATCCCTTGCGAGGGCGGATTGAGACGTTGCAGGCATAAATTTCTCTTGGAAAGCAGTTTCGATGTGGACCATGATTGAACAGCATTAGTAAGCCCTCAGTTCTGCTGGGCTGACAAAGGTAAACTCAAGCCCTCAGTTCTTTTGGGCTGACAAAGGTCAGCAATAAACCTCTATGAATACAGGAGCCTGCTAGACAAACAAATATCGTTTTCCCCGGACTCTGCCCCCCCCCCCCAACCGAAAAACAAAACGCCGCAATGGCAACAGTCTCACTGAAGATGAGGGAAGGTCGAAATATCCACCCCAGGCGACCTCTGTGTTCCCAGATGCTTGCCGCGAGGTTGAGCCGCGCCGAAGCACGGGAGGGCTCCGAGGGCAAAAGTGGCGCCGTCGCAGCACCTTTGCAGGACCCCTGCGCAGGACCCTTTCCTGCCGCTATTTTGAACCTGGGAGAAGTTCGCTACAGACGAGATATGTTTTCTAGGAGAGGACTTCAGGTTCCATATTGGCAATGCAACATATTGGCAATGACTATATTACACTATGGTACTAATTTCATTGAAAGGCTCATTCCCTGGTGGGAAAGCCAGGAGAGCACCGCAAACGCAATGCCACTTGTGAATTGGGTTTTCTCAATGCATCTTCTCTCCAATCTTCCAGGCCTGACGCTGCTACCCTCCAGAAGCCCCCGGGGCGCAAAAATGGGCGAGTCACATGGGGGCAGCTCGGGTGAGGTCGACTCGGGGCATTTCTCACCGTTCCGGATATGTCCTCGGTGAGTTGTGAGAGGCCAGGGTTCAACTTGCTCACTTTGTGAGTTGGCCGAAAGCCAGCACCAAACTGAATGCACACAGTATGAGACTCCGAAATAGGCATCATATCGAACAACCAAGAAGTATGTGTGTGTGTGTGGGTGTGTGAAAATCTGTGCAACTGAGGCCCGTCTCAGTTTACCCTTGCCTTTCGGCCAGGATCTTGCCAGCTTCAGTGAGGCCCTCTTGTTGTAGGTTGGTGACTCTTTGTTCCACACCTGTTGCCTCATCAGATGCTCTGCGAAAACCACGTGGTTGGTGAGTGAGAATTCACCCCCAAATCATAGAGGCAACCAGAAGTTCCCATGGCCTGAACTTCCGCGCGCGTGGCTTCGCAGCAGGCAGGAAACAAGGCCCGATGGCTGGCCCAGCGACAGCAGCAAGACACCGCGGCAAGCAGATGGCACCCCTCTCAAGAAATGTACCACTTGAGTCAAATGTTCCCTGCATAGCGACTCCGTGCGCCAAAATAGGCTGAAACTGCGCGGAATCCCGGAGATACATGTGATCCTGAAGGGGAGGGAGGCATTTGACTTGTCTTTGTGGCAGCGGCCAGCTTTCCCATGAAGACATTATGGCTACAAAGCCACAGCCCGGGTGCCCAGACGAGTCGAGGCCGTTTCGCAAACTTCAACAAACCACGTAAAAACAAAATTCCACCCCTTAAACGACTTTGAATCCACTTGAAAAAACTGCTGCCTCGACCGAAGCTCGGGGATTTGCAAGCTGCGGAAACCAAAGCATGCACATGTGGGTGGTTTGGACCAGTCGGCTGGGATCGACGCCAAGAATTTGCCTTCACGATTCACGCCTGTGGCTCCAATGATTCAAGCCCTTCCCTTTACATAAATCCCGGCTGCCGATCAATCCCGGCTGCCGCCTCCCTATGAATAACTTTGCGCTTTGGGGGAAACATGTTTTTGGTTGATTTCTTTTGAGGGGGTCCCAGGAGTTTCCACGCTCCTCGTCCAAATCCCCCCTTTGCCGGGCGTTGGACAGGGCAAAATCCGAAAACAAAGATAGAGGGTGCGATGTGACTTTGGGGGTTTTGGCCTGAACAAAACCGGCAGGGGTGGATCTACTGATAGGGGTAGCGGTTTGATTTTTATGGCAAAAACAACACATTCTGGAGCTTTCTCATGTACAAGAAAACAACACATTCTCAAGCTTTCCCATGGACAAGGAGCGCGACGTCTTCCACAAGGCAATCAATACATTGCAGCTGTGTATAGCTGGTGACTACCGCCCTGCTATATGAGGCATGAACAGTCAAAAGACGGTGAACTGGTTCGAATCGAGTTGCAACATCGTTAAAGAGAAGGTGCTCAGATATGATGCGGAAAGGTATTGAGGCGTGTGTGTGAGTGTGTGTAAGCGTGTGCGCAGGGTGAGGCATGCATCATGGGCTGATGTTCAAATTCATCTCTTGGAGCCGCCCACCTTTGGAGGCTGGACTCGGAAATGTCCCAAGTCTTCTTGGCACGCTTCACTCGTATCTCAAGAATATCGCTCGCAGGCCCAGAGCCCCTGAACAACGATGAGTTGTCGTTGTTCCTGGAGCTCATTGTAGCTTGGTGAAAGTTCGTTGTAGAATGGTAAAAATGGACGGCAGTAACATATTTCGAGCTGGAAACCAGCAAAGCAAGAGGAAGCGGCTGTGTCATGGGTGCGAAGCAAGGAAAAGCAAAGTGTTGTACATTTGGTATGCTTTTGAGGGCATCCAGGCCAAACAATGTATGCGCCATGCATGATATGCACCTGTCTCGCGTAGTGCATACAAAATGCATACAATGCAGTTTGAAGGCAGCCATGCCAGAGCCAAACATGCATACAAAGAGCATACAAAATATGCATGCTGCAAATTTGTTTTAATAAATGTTGTATGCATTTAAAAGGTATTCAATGCAAGACATACAGGTCTTAAAATAAAAACATGCCAGAACAAGGACACCGGCATCACAAGCCAGCACCGGAGATCCCCAACCATCTCCGGCATCACCGAGCAAACACCATGTAACCAGCATTACCAGCATCATTTGCAGCCACTCGTGGCTAGAAAACTGCTACAAGTAGAGTCAAAGCTAAACCAACATCAAAAGCTCGAAATTGGCTGCAGTTTAGCGTTCATTTCCCACAATTGGATTTACTCAGCGGACGGCAATGCTGGATCAGTCAGCAATGCATTCTAATTCGCAAGGTCAGCTGGCCATTTCAGATGATACATTTTGTGTGTTTGTGTGTTTGTTTTGCTTGCTTGCTTGCTTGCTTGCCTGCTTGCTTGCTTGCTTGCTTGCTTGCTTGCTTGCTTGCTTGCTTGCTTGCTTGCTTGCTTGCTTGCTTGCTTGCTTGCTTGTTTCTTTGCCCGCTCGCTTGCGCGCTTGTGTGTTTGTTTATTGTTTCTCTCTTTTGTGTGTGTGTTTGTTTGTTCTTTTGCACGTTTGTTTGTTTATGTTTGTTTTGATTGATTGATTGATTGATTGATTGATTGATTGATTGATTGATTGATTGATTGATTGATTGATTGATTGATTTGTTTGTTTGTTTGTTTGTTTGTTTGTTTGTTTGTTTGTTTGTTTGTACTTGTTGTTTGTGAGGTTGCGGGTCTGCGAGTTTGTGAGTTTGTGTGTGCTTGTGTTGGCAGGTGACCAGGGCTGTCCGGGGATAGCGCGTGGGATGCAGCTGACGCGACGCAGACGCGACGCAAATGCAAGAAGGAAGACGGGACTCAGGGTAAGCCGGCCAAACGCTGTCAGGGATTCGAGAGGGTTACGTGGTCATGCGGCATGGAAAGACACGGGATGCAGAGGAGATTCTCAGATGCTCCGCTGCACCAAACTTGGGGATGTTCCGCAGCAGAAGGGAATCAAGGGCTTGCAATTCTGCAGCAAAGAGCTGAAAGCTATTGGGTCTTTGCCCAGATAGGCTCCTTTTGGATGGGCAGCTTTCAAAGAGGGTTGAAAAGGAGGGTTCTTTCAGGGCTGTTGGGGTACGACCTGGGCTTGTTTTTAAAAAGTCACTCATTTTTGGGGGAGATACCACCTGGGCATATTTTCAAAAACAGAGTTCTCTTGGTTGTTGTTTTTCCCCTGGGGGTCTGGGGTCTACCATCGTCTTTGGAAGTGGCACCTTTGCCGAGGACCATTTCGGACCTTGGCCAGCCGGGAATTGTGCGGCAGGCGGGTCGGACAAATGGGGCATCCGCCCGGTTAGAGGGACGAAATAATTACTTGCTGGCTCCCAGCCATCCTCTTCTAGGTTTCCCAGTAGTGCCCTTTTAGCCTTTTTCGGGGGAGGGTTCCCCTAGTAAATTGGACTACAGCAAGAAGGGTACCCTTATTCCAACCTCTCTACTGGAGGACCTAGTCTTAGCTTTGTCGAATTTCAGCCTTTTTAGGGTTTAGTGGGGGTTTCCATTCAACCCACTAAAAGTAAAACTTTTAGCACGGGATTTGAGGACAGCCCAGATTAAAATGTGGTTGTGGGGTACAATTTTGAAAACTTACTCCCAAGCAAGTTGACCTGAAATGTGCTTCTGGTTCTCCACACTTGGTCCATGTTTAATCGTATAACCTTTGGTTGGTGGGTCCTATGTGCAACTGAGTAAACCATAAGTCTCATCATGGGGCAATAGTCCTTTTATTTCGCGCCTTATGGAATGATGTCTATTTCCCCAGCGAGGATTTGTCAGGGCAGGATACTGACCAGCACTCCAACCTGAGCTTGACTGGCGATTGGCTACCAAGTGCTTCATTGTCTGACTGATGTTCAGAAGGTGAATGCATGTGAAAGAGTTATGGTATTGTTCATTGCAAATTAGCAGATTATTCCCACATCCGGGGGGACTCATAGAACCTGGAGTGCTTTGAGGACATTGACCGAATGCATTTGTTATCCGGATTTCCCATATGCATACAATTTGTGTCTGAGCCCATACGTAGTGGCCATAGGCCAACCAGGACATTGAATTTTAGCATGCTGGAAGCTGCCGTCGAAGCCTTGCAAGTTGAAACTTGGACTTGGCGGAACTTCGACAAAGTGTTTTGCGAGTTAGGCAAAACTGCGCGTGATTTTCAGGAATTGATTCAGAACTTCGACCAGCGGTTCTGCGGCAGCGTTTGGATACTTGTTGAGTTTGCGCCACACCTGCGGAACCCTCCCAAGAACCCTTTTCTTCTCGACAAGGTCCGCGGTATACCCCTCCCATTTCTGTCTCAGTCGGCATTGTTGCAAAACCAGGGACGAGCCAGCAAGCAAACGGCCATCAGTTATGATTTGAGCGAAACATTTACTGCTTGCATCAATCCTGCGAACTCTTGTGTCATTGACTTTAGTGTCATTTCCACCGTTGGCCGGCGCTGACTTTGAGAGGTGAAGGGCAGTGATTTTGTTTTTTGGCACGCAGCGGCTCACGCTATCCCCTGTGCAAAGACTGAGTCCGCGGTGATAGATCTCTGTTCAGATGATAGGCCATCAAGCACAGTACCAATTCTTGTAATGACACAGCTTTCACGGGCCTAAGCCATCAACAGGTGTCACGAGAGGATTGATGGCTTTGCATGTATATATGTTCCAGGCCGTGGACCCCCCCCCCCCCCCCCTGTGGGGGTGGGTGGTGGTGGGGTGGTGGGGTGGTGGGGTGGTGGGGTGGTGGGGTGTGGGTGGTTGGGCTAACCCCCCTGGTGGGGTGGTGGGGTGGTGGGGTGGGGGGTGGTGGGGTGGTGGGGTGGTGGTGGTGGTGGGGTGGTGGGGTGGTGGGGTGGTGGGGTGGTTGGGTGGTTGGGTGGTTGGGTGGTTGGGTGGTTGGGGTGTGGTTCGGAGTTGGTTTAGGCTTGGTGGGTTGGTTTAGGGTTGGTTCAGGTTGGTTCAGGGTTGGTTTGCGGTGGGTTTCGGGTGGGTTTGGGGTTTGGGTTGTTAGGGTTGGGGTTAAGGAGGGGTTGCAGGGTGGTTTGGTTTAGGGTAGGATGTCTGGGACCGAAGCTGCAGGGCACTGGACAGCATCCCCAGCATTGCCAGCATCATCCCCAAGATGCGGATGATGCGGGGGAGTACCATACCATTGGGGGGGGGGGGTACGTGGCCCAGGGACTGGTACATGTATATATATATATATATATCATCTATATAAGCATGCATCAAAACTATGTTGTTAGTATGCTGTGTATTTGTATTGTGTTTCCTGTGAAACAGTATAAAGTTAGCAATAGAGATGATAATAAAACATATAATTTGATTATGACAATCATATATAGAGGTGTGTATCACACCTTTCCCGCATGCCGCTGAGTCTGATTCTCCCTTTCAAATGCCTGAACCGACTGTGCGGTCTCCCGCCTGAATCGAGCAAGCTGGCAAAGGGGGGGGTTGCAATTCTAGGCCTTCTCTTGGTTGGCGTTGGGAAACATTTTACATTTTTGCTTATTGTGCTTAAATTTGTATTTTGTTGCTCCCCTTCCAACGCCAACCAAGTTCTGGCAATGGCTTCCTGACAACTTCCTCCAAATTCTGATTCGGACCTCTTGCCTGGGCCCATTGACTTTTGTGAAAATGCCGCGTCGCTGGGATCATCAAGCCCGACTCCTTCCAAGCGTGCGCGTGAAAAAGGGGGGGTGTATGGCATGGAGAATGCTCAAGTGTCCTTGTGCTTTCCCGAGAAAACCAGCCAATTGCCGAACAACATCCCAAAGGCACCGCACTGGTTACAATGCGCGTTTCAGGTCAAGAAGCTCTCTTTGCCTCGGCGCCTTGCTGCAGAGGCGACTCGCAAAAGCAACTCCCTGGCGCTTGTTCTAAGACATGGTTGAAGCGGATAAGTTTGAACTTAGCACAAAAAAGGGCTGTTTTCTTTTTTTTGACCTGTTGGCTGACGGAGAGCGCTTTTTGCGGGCATCAGAGATGGGAGACACCTCTGATGGAGTAAATCTTGTGCCTTGAACATCCTATGCCCCAACCTATCCTTATTGCTGGCTCCTGGAGAAGGTGATCGTTTGTTACCATTTGGCTGTGGCTGAAAAACATGTACCAAAATGGCGCCTTGGTAAATGGAACCAAAGACTAAAATTTGCGTACCTGCTAGCTCTTTGATTCTGAGCCACAGCCATTTGTCCCTAGCTGAGCGGTGTTTGCATTTTTTGAGCGATGGAGACGAGAACGACTCCTTCACCTTCGCTGGTTTCATTTTGACAAGCTTTCCTGGGTGAATATGTGGATTTTGCTGGTGCGTCAGGCAGGGATTGAGAAATGGAACGCCTGTAAACCATCCCTTGTGGCTTCCTTTAATGGAATCCCTAGGTTCATTCCCAACTGGGTCATGCCCTTCTGAGCACCAGCAAGTAAAGTTATGCGCAATATGTGAACATGTGTTTTGCTATTGAGCGAGCTCTCGCTGAACTTGCTAGCTTGCCGACACGCCAGGCCTCAGCAGCGGCACTAGTGTTCCCGATATTTCCTCATTTGGAAGCTTTAAGTATCAGCTTTTAGAGCAAGGCAAAGTGAATTGCCTTTTGGTGAGGGGATGTTTAAAGGGCAAATATAGGAAAGCCTCTATTCCCTTCCACTGCTCAACACAGCGTTGTGATTGTCAATCGCTAGCTGAGGCAGATGGGTGTGTGTTTTGTTTTACCACTTCAGGCTGGAATTATATCACCCTTTCCCATTAAACGAATCACCAATTTTCTGGATTGGAATTTAATGTGTCCAGATCCAGTTTGGAACTGGCTCAGATAAGAAGCTTCTGCCAAGTTAAATTCAAGGCCAGGCTCGCTATGGGTGTGCCTTTGAGGGTACCCCTGTTTGGGTCTGTGTTAAAGGGAAACCGAAAGGAAACCACGAATTTAGGGCTTTCATTGGAAGACAGACACATCCATAATATGTGAGTGGAGCTTGCTGACACACTGCCCCGCATGAGCAGCAGAGATTTTGTGTTTGCAGGGCTTCTCTCGAAAGGATGCCGTGGATAGGGTGCCTACGCTGACTTGATTCGGATGATAGTTCTTGCAATCAGGAATGTAGGCAAACAGGGTTCCGGAGCAAATCAGAACGTTTTCGTGCTTGCTACAAGGAGATTCGGCACCCAAAACCGCAGCACTCAAACCCCACTTGGGCCATCTCAGTAGGCTGTTCTAACCCCAACTCCCCAAATATGGGCTACGGAAAGGCCTGCAGAAGCCTTCATAACCATGTTGATATGTAGTTTTTTGTTTTTTGAAAATTATTTTAGAAAACAATCAACCACTATTTTGTCAAAATATTGTTCCACCTGAATGTGTATCACCTGCTGTTGCTAGAAAGTCAACGGGTGAACCGGGCACTGCTCCAATGTTCGTTCTTTAATGACACTGCGACCGGGCAGCCCTGAGCCCGAAGACATGTTGTGCGTACCCAATGCATTTTTGCACCACTTGAGCCTGATGCCATGGACTGCTTTGGTGTATTACTCTGTTGATAAGTGTGTCAATGTGTTTGTCTCTCTCTCTCTCTCTCTCTCCGTGTTTGAGTTTTTTTTTGTGGTTCCGAGTTGTTGTGTATGTGGTTTATGCGTTTGTGTGTGTGTGTGTGTGTTTATGTTTGTGAGTTTGTGTGTTTGTGAGTTTGGGAGTTTGTGTGTTTCTGTGTTTCTGTGTTTCTGTGTTTCTGTGTTTCTGTGTGTCAGTGTGTGTGTGTGTGTGTCTCTCTCTCTCTCTGTGTTTGTGTTTGCGTGTTTGTGTTTGTGTGTGTGGGTGGGCGGGCTTCTGGGCCTGCGCATAAGTTGGTGCAGGCGCCGTTGCGTGAGCGTCTTGCTCCTTCTTTCCTTATTTGCATGTCATAGGTATTTGTGCGAGGATGCCCTTCAAGATCCTTTCCGATCTGTCAGAGGTGTTGCCTGAAATGCCGGGTTTACATGTGCGCAATTCACGCCGTTGCTTCCATTAGAAACAGACGCGACCGGCGCGCCAGCAGGATCCGAGCTTGCCGCATGGAACGTTCCTGCTAGGGCCCGAGTCTGGTGAAGTTTGCGCGCCGGATGTTTGGGTTGCAAGTCCCATGAATCTCAGAAGATTTCCACTACCCCTAGGGGGTTCGAGGGCTATACAGCCACTATATAGCTACCATACATAGCATATATACAAATATACCCTCAATTCATGTTGGGGTTGGTGTTTCGGGAGTACTGGAAACCATCTTAGAATGAAATTTAGGACAATCAGAACGAACACTTGTGCAAAGTTCGATGCTTCTTGCCTTGATAGTAAAAACAAATGCCCGTATCGATGTGCTTGTGTGTACCCAAAGCATATGCATTGGCTGGTTTCCACCAAATCCTGCATGTGCCCCTTGGATTGGCTGACTGCATCATCCTGCGCTGGAATCAATCCAAGGATTGTCTTTGTTCACATCTCTTGTGTCACCCCCAGAAGGTATGATTTTCCGATCTCCTGCATCTGGTCTAAATCACATTCCATGTGACATTGGCTTTGGGGATGAAGCAAGGTATGTAAAAAGATTGGTGGAATCAAGCGATCGCACGTCTTATTTCGCACCTGTCACATTTACAAGACTTTAAGCTGGAAGTAGCCTGCCGAGAAGCACAGGTCCCACGCATTACCAACCCGACTCATTGATGAAACTCGCAGGGAATTTGCGCCAAACATGTTCGCTTCAAAGCAATGCGTAACTTGAAACATTGCCAGCGAGCGCATGCATGGGAGCTTGATTGCAGAGGAATGGCACCCAGTGACATGACATGACCAGACATCCGTGATGTATTCAGTCTGTTGATTGCTTTCAGAACCGTGAAATTGCTGAAAACAGCAGAACATGTGTGATGCGAAACACCTTTGTGATATGCTTAGGTAGTAAAGGGAAATGTTCAACCTATACCATATTCAGTGAAGCATTGCCTTGCCAGAGCATTGAAACTATTGAGGACTCTTCATATTACTTCATAGAGACGGTAGAGCAGGGCTCCCTCGGCAGATCTCCAAATTTTGCAGTAACAGCAGTTAAACCCGAGTTCTAAGTGATTCGCAGTCAGAGGTTTGGCGCGGGCTGGAGTGGCCGCCAAATTATGTGATACGCAACTTGAGATGCAACATGGCACACTCTCCCATTTGCAAGCTCCCAGTTGTTATGTTTCCACCGTATGTGAGACCCCGCGAATTCTCGGAACATGGTGTTTTGCGACTTCTCTTTCCCGACTCCTGGGTGAATTCTGCCATGTTGTAGTTTCAGAAGTGTCGTGGTGTTGTCGAGACGTGTCTCCACTTCGCCGCCGTCCATGGCACCAGCCACCGTCGGACCGCTCACGAGGCCAGAGCCACGGCGATGCTACTCTCAAGGAGCTGTGCATTCGGTCGGAGCCAAGATGTTGGAACCGTACAACTGCGCGGGTGTATATGTAGATATATATATATAAGCAAAGCTGGTGTTGATTGCTTGCGGAATGGAAGTCAAATGATTCAAGGTGCTTTCTTTCAAGGTTTGTTAAGTTCATGAGATAGCGCGGTAGCATGCAACGTGCCAATACTTGACCCAAATGCCCACCGCCATTTTGGGTTGAGCTTGCCGACCTGAAGGTCAACGTGATTCCTGTTTATCACACCATGGCCACCTCTAGCAGCCAGCTCGAAGTTGAGATGGGCGAATGCGGCTTCCAAGGAGACGGCAATGAAGGCGGGCCTGTGCATTTTTCGGAGGACCCCCGTCGAACCTGACTGCCAAGACTGAGTCCGCCTTGACCTCGAGCTCACAGGCGGACCAGGCCTTGAGCCATTTCCTCCCATTGTGCCTGGCACAGCTCCTCTGGCGCACCTCGTCTGGCTTCCGGTGCTGGGCGGCCATGCGTGAAGTGGGTCTGTCCTGGGAGAGCGGCCGTTCCGTTCGCGGCATCTTCCACTGATGGGGGGGGCTTGGAATGGCCCGGACACCCTTCCCACATGACGGGAGTTTAAGCGCAGCCACTCGGCAGACATTTTCTCCTTACGTCAGAACGGTGCGAAGGAGGCGGAGGCCTGCCTGGTAGCCGCGATCATTCCATCCGATTCCATCCCCAAGAGAGAGGAAGACCTACTGGAGCCATGGCGAATTGCCACGCCTTTGCGAAGGAAAGAAGACGCAGTTCGGAGGGAAACACCTGGCTGGTGTCGCAACCCAAGGACCCCATCTTGTGCCACCGCCGCGCGCCCCCCGATGGGTTGCGGGAATCCCCCGAACGGATGGCGCACCAACTGCGCAGTTCCGCTTCGCGCAACTACCCAGGCACCATGCTCCTGTGCAAGATGCCAACTGACAAGCAGGGCAACATGGCTCGGCTCCCCATTGGATGTCTTCGCCCCCCTTCTTGGATGAACTGAGAGGGCAGAAGCTACCAGAGCAGTTGGTGTGAAGCTACATATCACATCCCAACCTTGATTCGTGTTTGCTGCAGAGCCTTCTGCTCAGAGCAGCCACTTTGTCAAGCAGTGTTCAACCACAACCACCTTGGACTTATCATCAGGTATGTGTTTGTAGTGCAACTGCACGTGTAAGAGTGCGTGTGTGTGTGTGTGTAGCATTTCCTTGTACTTGTATGTGTGTGTCAGTGTGTGTCAGTGCGTGAAAGAATTGTGTTTCCCGTTGTTCTTGCCTCACGACTCACGACATGGTTGTTGGTTGCGGTTGTTCTGTTGCGTGTTTCGATTTTCGCGGACTCTGGTCCATGTCTGCAGGTGGATCATGGCTTCGCTCGTTTTCCGAACCAATGAAAAGGGTCCTCCAACGAACATGGAACCTGACGCTTCGGTGGGTCTGCAGGCCTTTTTTGAAGGACTGGATCCTTGTCATCTCCCACGTTAATCGGTGGAAGGGTAATGTTGACCCCGGATTAATAAACCCCTGTTAATTAATATGGTGGTTTTCCCCTCCAACAGTGAACAAAATCTCACTAAAACCAGGGACACACCCAGATATAAACAAACAGGTTTTTGTGTTTGTTTAATCCTGGGCGCAGATGACTTGGGACTTCTGGCGCCAAGGGGAGGAAATGGATATCAACAAACAGGGGTTTATTCATCTGGGGTCAACATTACCCTCCAAATGGCTTCGAGCGGCGCGACGACGGAGGAGCTTTGCTTCCGCCCAGCCGCTCCACCACCACCCCGTGCAGCTCCTCCAGGACAGATGTGTGGAGGAACAACCGGGGCCTCCAAAACGTCCAATTAAAATGTTTGATTGACTCCGTGTTGGGTTTAAAGGGAATCTATCACTACTGGAAATGAGTAGTTTTTTCCAGGGGACTTAAGTAGATGGAAGGAAAAATGGGGTTCCCTTTGGGGAAGCCATTCAAACCAACCCAAGAATGGGTACCCTCAAGAAGAATGCTGACCCATTCACGGATCCGGCCTTGCACGGGTGCTCCTCGTTTGCGCACGATTTGTGTGAGCTCTCGTTTGCGCAAAAAGGCAAGATTAACTGATTGTGCTCTCCTTGGCTTACGCGTCCAGAAGCCAAGAGCGAGTTACGTCTCTCTGGGTCAGTCAGGATTGTGTCGAGAGCCAGTTGCCACAAGGCCGCTTTCAGATTCGTGGTGTAACATCTGAAGCGCTTGCTTGGAAGGGAGGATTGCCGGCCAAGCCCCTATGACAAATCCGGAGCTATGCGCATCTTCAATCGAGTGCCCTTCAAGTTTTCAGTGTCACACTTATTCATGTTTTCGCATGTGTTCAGTGATATCCGCTCTGTTGTTGAGACTGCCTGGTTTGTCAATTGGGTGATGTGGAAACTTTCTTCTTTTTAGGAAGACCATGTTAGTTTGCTTACTGTTTTAGGTCATCCAGTCTGGAAGTGTTGACAGATGCCAGGAGCCCAGAAGAGGCGAACTGGGACGATACGCGTGGTGGCACAGACAAGCAGTGCGGTGGCTGGTGCTTCGGGCTTGAGTCCCAGTTTCCACTGAGGTTCCCATGTCGGAATTCATTGCATAAAAGGAGGGGGGTTCAGCAATCTTCGGATGCATGTGAACGAATATGTGCGTATCACGATTGTCCACCGATTTGAACCGTTGGTCAGTCAGGTTTGTTCCTTACTGTCTCGAGATGGATTTATCATGTCATACTTCGTGCAGGGGATCTCTCGTGGCCAGAGTGCTTCCGTGCGTTGAAGGCATCCAGTTTCGCGCTGTGTGTTTCTGAGCCAGCTCCTCTCACGGAGAGCAATGTGGAACACGTCATCAACTCATGAAGCTCTCGTGTGGGAAGTTAGATGGCCCTTTGAAAGTCAGCCAAGCGCGGCAGGTTTACACAAAGCCCTTATTTAATACATGTGTGCATTGAGGGTCCATTGACGAAGGCTCACTCGAAATGCCGTAGACCATGCCCCTTGAAGTGTGCTTGAATGTCTTTGGCATCGTTTGGTGCCAGCTGATGGATCCATGATGATCCATAGCCTTTGGTTGCTAGCCATTGCCTCTTTTTGGCTATCCAGAGGAATGCTAAAACCCGTCCCAATAGAGGACCACAAAACAAGCCCCGGAAGGGAGCGACAGCTGGTACTTCAAACTGGCTGTGGCGAAAACAAGAGAATCCTCCCAACCCAGGCTGCGGACACGCAACATCCGCGGTGCCCTGGGTCCTCCATGTTGCGCCGCGCCATGTAACGCCCCGGTCGTCCCCCAAGGGGAAAGCCGCCGAGGCTTGCGGCCGTCCAAAGATCGGCGCGCAGCGGCCCCAGTTTTGTGATGTTGCTTCCTCGAGCCAGCTGAGGTCCACGTTTTTTTTGGGGATAGCTCACCGATTCAGAGATAAAGCGAGCGAACACCATGATGCTTGGTGGCTCGCAGCCAACCGGTTCCTTAGGTTTTTAGATGTTTAGTTGGTTAGTGGGGGTTTCCATTTAACCCACAAGTTAAGCTTTTAGCAGGGGATCAGTTTGGACAGCCCAGGATGTAGGTTCTTTGAATAAGGCATTCCTGATTTCAGGCTTTGGAACAAAATCCTCTTCACTACAAATGAGCCACAATCAAAACCCGGGTAGATGATGGTCAGTAAGGGACAATCCCAACCATAGATAGCTTCGGATATCCGCCTTCCTAATTCTTCACATGGTTCTGGGGATCGACCTTTTACTACAAAGGGTTTTGACTATGACTCAAATGGCATGCGAGGGTTCCGGATGTTCCACATAGGGCTGTGGCCCTGGCTTACCGCTTGGGCACCCGCCAGGCAGCACAACGTCTGAACCCAGGCGGAGCCTGGGACGTGGTACCTGGTTTAGTGGCAAACCATGGGAAGTCGTTGGTATATGGCAGTGGGTCAAAAACAATGGGATCCCATTTTGGGGGTAGGTGCCCCACCCCTTTTTGTCTATTTTAGTGGGGATTGGGATGTTCACTAAGGGTATGATTTGGATTTTGACCCACGGCCATATCGTCCCCAAATGATGTCCAAAGGGTTCCCAATGAAAATTTAGGTCCAAGTATGAACAGCTGAAAAAATTGCCTCGACCATTTGGGCCCCTGAACGTTTGGTTCTGGGCTTTGCGTTGGAGCTTCGAATTCCATCGAGTAGAGATGCGTAGACTGAAGATGGAACTGAAGGTTGTTTCGTTGGCCTTGGGATTTATTCCCCAACAGCTGAAAGCGATTTGGGGTCTCTGCCCAGGGTGGGCTGAGAATTTGTGTTGTCGCTTTCAGGGGTGCAAAAGGAAGGGTTTGAGGGTTTCGGGGCTGTGGATACCCGCGGGCCTGCGGGGTCTCAGCCACTGGTGTTTTTTTTGTTGCGCCGCAGATGGGAGCCGCAACTGGGCAGCCCAGTACTTCCGAGGCAGGGCGAAAGGTGATCTTCCCCCCTGAACAAGTTGGCCTTTGGCTGATTGGGCTGACTGGCAACCAGCAAATTCAAGAAGGGCCCTGTCCTTTGGGTTTTTTGGAAGAAGGGAAGGGTTCAAGAATCTTTCTGTGGCGGCCCTCTGCACGATTCAAAGATTGCGTTTGAAGAAGGTTGCTTTGTGGGAAGGGCTTTGGATTTCCTCCCTTGAGATGCCCGTGACACATTGACAAAGCCCGTTGTCCATGTAGACTCCAAACCTCCGCACCGGGTGACTGATGTAGCTGCGCAACTGGAGGGTAACATAGTTGCCAAGGCCAAGAAAGTGAAGGCTTGCAAGCAAAGTGTCAGATGTTCAGCCGGAATAATGCGTGTGCAATGAGTATGCGAATAAAACATTTGGCATTTGAAGGACAGCAGAAGAGGTTTCGTCACTTGTTATCTGTGCCGTGTTTCGTGGACGTTGCCCTGGCCTGCAAGCTTTGGTAGGCTCACGAACTGAAGGCGCAAACATCACAGGCTGACCCAAGATTCAACATTCGAATTCCATATGCAAGGTGTTTCCACTTGATCCGTGTTAGCGCTAATTGACCCGCAGGGTCCACTGTTCACTAATAAGCCAGTTGTCAGCATGGAAGAGCAGAGCAATGGCGCTGAGCAAGCGGAAATCAGCGAGCCTTTTGACTTGCCATGGACAAAGTATTTTTGCCTCTAAACTGTGCTATGTTTCAGACGCAATGATTGATTTTTTGTGAAGAGGGGGAACCGCTTCTGAACAGAAATGCCTTCCAAAACGAAGCAATATGGACACGAGTGAGTTTGGTCCGTGTTATTAAAGATCCAAACTCTGCATTGCTGTGACGCGTTTGTGATGTTATCTCGCTACAAGGGCATTATCGCTCTTGCCATGAAGTTAATCTTGCCTGGAAAGCCATTGCGGCCATGCACTGTATTGATTTTGATCACGTGAGCAGATTTCGACTAAATTGGGGTACGTCTCCAAATTTGACAATTGTCTGGTCCTGACAAACCACCCCTGACCAACATCAACGCAGTAGAAATCACACGACGCACAATATAGAATGCATAGTTCCTGGTGCCTTGTCGTTCGATCACGCAAAACGACTCAACTTCAATCCGTGTGAAGAAGTCAAGCAGTTTGAGTCTTGCAGCCCGATTCAACAATTGTGAACATGCAGTCCTCTTGGTGCTGAGTGATTTTCTGTCCCTTCGCTGTCGCTTATGGTTCGGATACTCGTTGCAGGGTGACTTAAAGCTTCAAACCCCACGGAGATTTCCGGGATGCCACCCATAGGTGCGGCAGGTTTCCCTTGCCGCGCCAGGCAAAATCCACCCTGGGAAAGAGCTTCGCTTTTTTCGGGCTTTGCGTTCAGGACCTCATGCCCTTGCGGCGTTCGGGGACCAGGAGGCTCTGAGGTCCCCTTTCTTTGGGAAGCCCTGTAAGCAACTATGAACCAATCTCAAACCTATCGTTCTGGCCCGGATGGTCAGTGGGGTCATTCCCAAATTGAAGCAACTCCACAAGAAAAACAAACTCCATGTTAGAGCCCGGTCCGAATCCCTCTTTTGATATGAACGTGCTTGGTCCGTCAACCCGTTTCGTGAATCATCATGTGCTGCCCAAATCCTTTGTGTTGCCAGGATCACCACCATTTGCGGGCAAAGCCACCCAGTTCGCATTTTGGGGCTTCAACTCCTGTGTTGTTGCTATTTTTTCAGACACCAACCGCCACGCTGGCACCCCCTAATTGTGGTTTGGATTGGTGGTTTGGGAATTCAACACCCTGGTTGTCGTAGAGGGTAAATGGGAAGCCCCTCCAGACCACCACCAAACCACCAATTGAAGGGAAGCCTTGCGCGTCACAGCGCAAGGCCCGTGCTCTCGCGGCCTTTGCGCCGTCCCAGCAGCGCGACCAGCTTGGGCCTTGAGCGGCTGGTGGAGGAGGCTGAGACCGCGCTGCGGGAGGCGCTCGCCGAGTTTTTCTTTCTTTTTCCACGCGTGCGCACGCGCAACATGCGGGGTGCGGTTCGGTGTGCGTGGGGCTCGCACAATTGGGCTCGGCCTCCCAAAAATGGCCGGGGGCCTTTTTCTTGTGTATTTCCGTTCTTGTAGCCATCCAAACAAGGGGACCCCCTGACAAAAGGACACCCCCCTGTTGGAGCTGCCTTTTTGGTTCCCACTAAACCTAAGATCGGATGTAAGTCCCCGAGCCGCCGATGTTTGGATTGGTTTCGGGACTTGAAGCCCCAAACAATCCAAGCCAACTTGTGGAGGGAAGCTGATGTTGGGGATTGGTTTTAGGGACACCAAAAGAAAACCAACGTGCCCTCATTTGAGCGCCATGTATTTTGCCCGCAATTTGGCAGCAGTGGGGAGAGGGACATTATTCTTGAACATGCGCACTGCGCAACGCGGAAGGTTTGCGAAAGGTTTCGGGCAAGGGATTTCTCTTGCGCAAGGTTCACGGAAGGCATTGTGGTTTGACCACCCCATTCTGGGGCAAAACTTGCGGAAAACCAAGCATCCACGTCCTAAAGGACGGGGGGGCTCAAAGGATGGACAAGCACATAGACCAAGAGACGCGTCTAGTTGCTTCAACCACTCAAACTGGACAGCCAAAAGGTCTTACACGCGGGGGTCCCCAGTTGTTGTTTGCTTTTGGTTCAAAGAGCACCTTTTGGCACGGTGAGTTTCCCTTGGTAGGGGCAATATGGGGAAAGATGTGGATTCGGTCTTGTGGTCACGGATCCTTGGCAAAATGAGTGATTTTCTCCATGATTAAGGTTCCGTACTTGGGAACTATGTACTTCCAGTTGGAGAAAATTGTAATACCTTGCTCGGAATAACTCACGCATCCCCAACCCTGAATCAAATATCTAGCTTCATCTTCCCCTTTTGTGAACACAACTTGAACCCTGCAATTGTGGGCTAACTCTGACCCCCGGGCGGAGCATGGCGGTTTTCTGGGCAAATGAACTCGTGAGGAGTCGCAATGGGTTGCGAGAACGCTTACTTTAGGTTGGTGATCTGTAGTCATTCGTTTGGGTGTGCCTCAAGTGTCTTCAGAATTCCAGACTCTCCATGGCCATGTTTGCCAAATCGCTGGGAGCTGTCAAATCGTGAGTCTCAAAATGAGTTGAACTCAGCAGTATCGGAGCAGTTATCTGGAATACGATTCCCTTGAGCAGAACCCACCCCCGTTGCTTGTGCAGATTTGTTATCTTCGAAGAACCAGAAAGATGTTGAACTGGTTTGGGACTGTCCGTGTCTCAGGTCTTTGCTTTGCAGCATGGCGTCAGTCAGCATGGCGTTGTGCTAGAAAGTGTCAAGCGGTCCATGGCAAAAGCCGCAGCAAGCATTGCCCAGGTATTGTGTGATAGCATTTGGATCTTCCCCCCTGGCCCCCTGACTGCGCTTTGCAATTGACCCATCGTTGCAGGGTGGCATAGCTTTGGTCCTCACAAACAGTCAGAATGACCGTCCCACTTGGTGAACGCCAAAGGATCAAACGCTAACATAGCGCCTGTTGAGCTGCAGTCTCTGGAATGACTACAGAAAACATTGTTATACCATGACATGTTGTTTGTGTATAGCACTATAAACATTCGCCGAATTCCGACAAAACGAGCCACCCCATGAAAGATCCTCTACTTGCAATGGATAGTATCCCTTGCTTTATGTTGTGCTGCTCTTATTACAAGTTGCAAATTCAGAGTGTAGTTTGCACGGCACCCGCGTGTGTGTGTGTGTGTGTGTGTGTGTGTGTGTGGGTGGGTGGGTGGGTGGGTGGGTGGGTGGGTGGGTGGGTGGGTGAGTGGGTGCGTGGGTGTGTGTGTGTGTGTTGTGTTTGTGTTTGTGTCTGTGTCAGTGTTAGTGTTTGTGTGTTTGAGTATGTGAAATTTAAGTTGCTGCTGCGACATGCTTGATGAGCGCAGGCATCACCTTCTCGCTAGTTTTGGAGTAGGACCAACGGGCCCCACCAGAGGTAGGAGCCACAGGTAGCCTCAATGCTGACCTCACCTTAGGTTTTGAAGCACGTCAGCAGGCCCTACGTGTTGAATTAGTAGGGACAGCGAGAATACGCGCGCGCGCCACAAAGCAGACTTGGCCAGATGTGTTGCTAAGGATAAATCCCTTAGCTGAAAAGGGAACTACAAGCAATACGCAGGCCTTGCCGTCTACGATCTCCTTGTGTCAGGCAACCAGGCAGAATTGGGTTTCCAAGACCAACCAGGCAGAGATTCAGAGAAATTCCAGCAACCAGGCAACCATCCTCGAGGTTTCTCTGTGAAAGCTGGGTTTGCCCTCTGTCTCTGCCGCCAGGTGCCAGTGCGCAGGCTGGACCAAGACTTTGGGCCTTTGGGATCTGAGTCACGCTCTTCCCGCCTCTTTTTTCGTGCGGTGAGAGACGTGTTGTCTTGGTTGGTGTTGAAGGTGGGTTTTGGCAGGTGCATTCCGATTGTGCTCTTTGGGGGGTAACTCCTTGAATTGTCGGTGTGAAGACCCAATTAGAGGCGTTGACCGCAGGTTTCCCAACAAAGTTCTTGGTGAGCACGTATTGTCCAGTGATGTTTGATTTCTACCTGCTGCAATCATAATTTTGGAAGCCCACTGACGTGTCGTCTCAGAGATTTGCGGTCCAGTCAGCTCACATACACTCCTTTTTTTCCTGCACGGAAGTCACGACGGCGGAAGGCTTTGATGCGAAGTGCGTTCACGCAGGGAAGCTTTGCGTTTGGATTCCAAAACAGTCAGGGACCCCCTCTTTGGTCTGATCGAGAAATCAACAGGAAGCCAAACATCTGCTCGCCTCGTCTATCGCGCAACCGGGCATGTTGCATTTTTCCGGAAGAATGTTAGCCAGGAAGTCAACGTCCCCATGTCACCCACCTAAAAAATGGACACCCAAAGGGTAAATCAGGATTTTCCACCAACCTGGCACCGCTTTGGTGGCAGGTTTTGTTGGTCATAAACTTGGAAGCGCGCAATCAAATAGGCTGCACTTATTCGGGTAGCGAGTCTTCATGCCCCCCCCCCCCCCCCATGAAGTCCGAACCGTCATATAGGAAACTTGCTGGTGCTCGGGGAATGAAGAATGACCCCTATAAACGTTTCATTTAAGGGAATCCCCGCGTTCATTCCCTCATTCCCAGCTGAGCACCAAGGAAATTTCATGTGGGAACCCCACGGTTCCTTTCTTTGGACGTGCCCTCAGCCTTGGTCCAAAAACACACCAGTCCCAGGTCACAAAACCTCCAGCCAATTTGCTGGAGACACGCAAGCCGGCCGCTTGCCCTGTCTCTATATGTTTGGGCATGAGAGCTTCTCCAAAAGGGTTGGAATCTGTTTGTACTTGTATACCCGAGCATCCTAGCATCCCTGCTCGCTGTTTCGCTCTCTATCAAGTTGAGCTGTGCGCACTTGTACCCCTGCAATTCTTTGCCAGATGTATGAAAGATCTTCTGCCACTGCAAACCACTAATTAATAGTTTACCAGACAGTGGTTTACCATTTAATGGTTTGTATTAAAGATCTTCCAATGGTTGTCTTCTGCCAAACCCAACTTAAGGTACTCGCTCTGAACGCGCCTTGAGTCGCCAGGCAAGAGCGGCGGCCGCAGCCTCGGCGGCGGCATCCCTTCAGCGACCTGCTGGAAATGCTGCCGCAAGAGACCAGGAGAGGCGGAGGGCAAAGGCTGTGGCGAGATGGGGGGGGGGGCGTAGCCACCAAAACAGACAGACCCATGAGGGGAAGATTTGACGAGTGGGTCCCAGTGGCTTAGAAAAACGCACCTTTGGCTCAGTGATTTTGGGAAGTACCCAGGCTACGGGCTGAGATCTCCCAGTGGGTGTCTCATCAGCGGCGTATCGGCGTCCAAAGCCTGCGAGCCAAGCTCCCAGTATTCAGGGCAGGTGAGTTACACGAAGGTGGCAATTACCAACCTGCAAACGATTTAAATATTCATGGGCATTCCATTGCACTATTTGAAGTTTACACAACAAGAATTGGAAGATGTGTTTGGACGAACTTGACTAAGCCTCTCAGACTTGTCCAGCCTTCCAATCGGGTTATGCACCCGGCTGGTGGACAAGCGCCTTGCTGCTTTGCTTCATGGCAGAAATCCGTTGAGCAGTGTTGTAAGGCTTGTAGATGGCCACAGCTTCTGCAATTGATTTGGCTGGTGGCCGTTTTTCGTGCACATTGGCCAATTAGGTGTTTTCGTTTGGGAATTCGAATCATGGATCCGTGTTTTTCTGCTTCAGTGTCAAGAAGCTTCGGGCAGGCCCCGCGTTTTGCAGCAATCATTCCCGGGGTACCTGAAACCTGTGATGTATGTGCTGAGCTCGAAATTTATAAACCAAGGGTTTACGAGCAGTGTTCGTTTCCTCGCGTGTTGCTTTACTTTTCCTAGGTGCACCTTGAATCAAGATTGTTGGATTCGGGTTTCCTTCCACTGTAAGGCCGGTGTCGTGGTTCGCCAATGTGGTTGTGTTTCTTTGAGGTTACCTGGAGTCTCCATGACCCTTAACAAATCAGGTCATTACCCAAAATGGGAATGAACCCAGGGATTCCCTGAAAGAAACCCACATGCAAGGGGTTTATAAGGGTCATTCAGAAGAGTCATTCCATTTCTCATTCCCTGCCTATCGCACCAGCACGTTTTCTGGGACACCAGGTTTTTTGGGGGGCTCTTGCAAGGATCCGTTTTTTGTTTTTGTTTGCTCCTAGGGCTGTTTTTGTTTGTTGGTTGCTTGGTTGGTTGGCTGGCTGGCTGGCTGGTTGGTTGATTGGTTGGCTGGTTGGTTGGTTGGTTGTTTGGTTGGTTGGTTACCCGCTGGCAAAGGGTCGGGAGAAAGGATGCGCCCGCTCAGCGACATCTTCGATCGCTTGGAGCGGCCCAAGCTGCAGTCCAAGCAGCAGGCGCTCGAAATCAATCTCTCGATCTGGCGATCGATCGATCGATCGAGGGGACCAACGCGGACTTGTTCAAGAGTTCCGTTTCGGACTTTCGTCACTTTTGGGGTTTGGACCATTTCAGTGGCAAACTGTTTAGTGACTTGGACCAACTCGGGAAGTGAGTTTTGAATCAGCGGTTTGAAGGGGTGACGGTTTGCGGCTCGATGGTTTAGATTTGCCGCGTAGAGGGCTGTTGAAAGGTAGCCAGGAGCTTCTGGACTTATGAAGACATGTGTGTGTCATATGCATGTTTGCTGAATCAAACGAGGACAATGGAAGGGCAAATGTCGCTTTGCTCCCAAAGATCCACGCTTGCACCTTTAGGTTCCCATTTCAGTGACATAGGCAAAAGCGTTTTTGCAGGCCACGAGCGGCAAAGAACACGGAAAGATGAGAGTTGGAATCGGATGCTCTCACCCTTGACATCACTGCCTCTGCGAGCACCCGGGCAAGTCATGCAGGCATAGATCTTGGCTTGTCCAAACCGTGTTGAAGCTGGGGATGCTAGCTTGCAATTTCCGAATTGCCAAACCGAAACAAGGTCTGGCGGTGTGGTTTGGATTGAATCCACTTGAAGACGAACCATTTCGCCTGAAATTGTTTCAGGTTGAATGATAGCATGTCACTTTCGGGGTTGACCGCAGCCGCGCGCCAGGAGAGGCTACGGGAACAACCGGAGCTGAAACCGGACCCGAAGGCGACAAGGGAGATATATACATGGGATTTGCGCTTGGAGTCGCCACTCAGAAAAGGGTGTCACCATGAGGATTACAATCGGTTTCACAGCGCAGCTGGGTGCTTCTGTGATGAGGCAGCCTTCAGTGCGTCATTGCAGCCATTGTTTGCCTCAAGTTGCAGCATACCAGAGTGATCATCTCACCATGATGTCCTTGCGGTCCATCCTCGTTGCCCTGATGCTTCTTATCCCAGCCTTCGCTTCGGATAACACAACAACGACATCGACTACGATGGAGGAGTCGACCACCATGGATAACATGACGACGACAACAACCATGGTTACCACAACCACTGGCGCTGGAGTCTCCTTTGGCTACATGGCTGCGCCAGCCTCTGTGGTTGCTGTGGTGTCGCTCGGACATCTCATCAATGCTTGAAGGCTTCAATGATCCGATTTCATCCCAAGTCTCGCCACGTGGACGTCATGCAATGACATGCACAGCTAGAGTCGACGGCTTTTCCCAAGGGACTTGGGCAATTCGATGCGGGTATTTGTGCCGCTTGGACTTGACAGAAGGTTTTAGATACTTTGCTTGGTATTAAGCAAAATGGAAGAGAAGTGCCAAATGTCAAGTTCAATCGGCAAGGTAGCACGGCACCACGAGTTTGTTCAAGATGCACATGGTCCCACATGGTAACACACCTGGAGAAGGACCAGTGTCCGCCATTGTCCGCGTGCAAACAAAAGGGGAGTTTCATCATTTTTGTTTCACAAACTTGAAGCGGAATCAGCCCTCCCCTGAATGCACGTCCTATGCCTTGAGTTGCCCTATTGTGTTTTTGTTGCGTGCGTCATTATTAGATGTTTGAAGCTATAGTTTGTTTGCACCGGCTCACTGCTAAGATTTTCGTTCAACTTAGAGGCGGGTCCTGTTTTGATTCTAGACGTGGGTGAAGGGGACCCCTGTTTGGATCGGCTAGCATCAGCATCTATGTGGGAGGACGGCAGCAGACAACTAAGCCAGTGGTGTTGCATGTCACAAGCCAATTTTGCGTTGAGGATTGCCGGATCTTAAACGGAAGGCTTCAACATGCTTCAAACCGTCAGGTAAGTTCTTCCATAGATTTGTAGGCACGGGTCATAACACAGTTTGCTCCCTTGATGTATCCAAAGCAGAAGGCCTGTAGTTCGAATGACAGTGTCAACGCGCCAAGACAGACCAAGACACGGACTCTGCTTCCCCCTGAGCAAGTCAAATCAGCTAGTGTTGTGAGGAACCAATGAGTGGTGCTTTCTCAATGAAGTGACGTAGTATGTTCCCACTCCAAAAGAGTACGCTGGTCATGCAATTAACGGTTATGAGGACTCATTTTGCACTGCCCTAGTCTGTACGGCTTGACACGTGCAATGAGGACCGTTTGCCATTTGCTTGGATTGAAGCAGGCAACACAAGCTTCCTTCATTACCTCAGCATGCAACTGTATGGATTTCATTGCAGCCGCATTTCCCATCAAGCACTTGCACTGTACCAGAGCCATCATCTCACCATGATGTCCTTGCGGTCCATCCTCGTTGCCCTGATGCTACTTAGCCCAGCCTTCGCTTCGGATAACACAACAACGACATCGACTACGATGGAGGAGTCGACCACCATGGATAACATGACGACGACAACAACCATGGTTACCACAACCACTGGCGCTGGAGTCTCCTTTGGCTACATGGCTGCGCCAGCCTCTGTGGTTGCTGTGGTGTCGCTCGGACATCTCATCAATGCTTGAAGGCTTCAATGATCCGATTTCATCCCAAGTCTCGCGAGCTTGACGCCGTGCAAGGACACACCAGCTGAAGTCTTTTATGCTAGACTCGACGGCTTTTCCCAAGGGACTTGGGCAATTCGATGCGGGTATCTGTGCCGGTTGGACTTGACAGATGGTTTTAGATACTTTACTTGAGGTATTGAGCAAAATGGGAGAGAAGTGCCAAATGTCAAGTTCAATCGGCAAGGTAGCACGGCACCACGAGTTTGTTCAAGATGCACATGGTCCCACATGGTAACACACCTGGAGAAGGACCATTGTCCGCCATTGTCCGCGTGCAAACAAAAGGGGAGTTTCATCATTTTTGTTTCACAAACTTGAAGCGGAATCAGCCCTCCCCTGAATGCACGTCCTATGCCTTGAGTTGCCCTACTGTGCTTTTGCTGCGTGCGCCACCACCAGATGCTTGAAGCTATAGTTTGTTTGCACCGGCTCACTGCGAAGAATTTCGTACAACTCAGAGGCGGGTCCTGTTTTGATTCTAGACGTGGGTGAAGGGGCCACCCCTGTTTGGATCGGCTAGCATCAGCATCTATGTGGGAGGACGGCAGCAGACAACTAAGCCAATGGTGTTGCATGTCAGAAGCCAATGTTCTGTTGAGGATTGCCGGATCTTAAACGGAAGGCTTCATCATGCTTCAATTTGTTCCTTGCGTCGGATAAGTTCTCCCATAGATTTGTAGGCACGGCGTCATGCCTTGTGCCAACGACTTCTCGTGCTGGCCAAACTTGTTTAGTGAAACAGGGATGTCTTAGGGCCAAGTTCCACTTGCTGCAGCCTGTACTGCATGGTGCTTTCTGGGAAGGTTTTCATCTCGGGGCCGTTTTGGCTCAAGTGCTGACCCCCCTTGACCCTGTGGCTCTCGGCACGGTCTCGGCTTTGACTTTTCAAGATGGAATACGCCATGGATGCGGCAATGGATGCGAAACAGGAAACAAGACGGAGGGTTGCATGGACGTGGACGTGGAGGTAAAGGTGGAAGTCCTGGAAGAACCCTGGGACAGGACGGCTGCGTCTGGCTGATTCCTCCCAGGAAGAACCCGGCCGGGCGACACCTTCCAGCTGGTGCAAGGTGGAGCTCGGTGCTAGAGACGGCCAGGTCGAACCTGGAGCCTGGACGGCTGCTTCAAGCGCCGATTCCGCCACAGGCAAGTCCCGTGAACCTGATGGAAATTCATCGGAGAAGGACTGGCGCTACGTCCAACTGCTGCGGCCCTGGTGGAATGGATCCAGAACAAGGTTGCAGAGCTCTACGCGAAGCTCTTCAACAGCGGGTCGGCGGGAATTTCGCGGCGCCTTCCCAAAGCTGCCCTTCGGAAGTTCAGCCAAGCCTGGGAGGGGCATGGTGTGAACGTGCAGGAATACCGCCGCGAAAACACATCAGACAGGGACGCCTTCTTGTGCTAGGTGGTGGAGCCCGTGTTGAAAAGGACCACAGAGTAAAATCCCTCGTGTGCAACCAGACGGTCCTGTGGGCTTGCGGCGCTTGCCACCTTGCCTTGAAGTCACCCAGCTGGTGGTAAAGGCTGGCAGATGGTCAACAACGTCTGTCCAGGCTGCGCAGTTACTGGGCAGAACTATTTTTGGAGGTGAAGAAAATGATGTTGGTGGACGAGATGGGACTCCAGGTCTGCATCCCGCTCCGAGACCCCCGTTTCCCTGCAGAAGACGGCGTGGTTTCCAGTCTCAATCTTGACGTGGCAAAATTCGGGCGCGCCCCTCACTCAGGTTCTACCCAGCCCCCAAACCGACCTACCGCTGTTGTAGGGGGTTGAGGACATCTTCATGCCATGGATCTCCATTAAATCTTGGGAAAACAGCCCTAGAATTTGGCATGATACACTGGGCGGTCCAGCCTTTGAGGATGCCAAGGGGGTGGACCAATGGCGACATCCACCCCCTCCTTGGGCCCTGGACAACGGCTTCTGATCGGAGGCCTCGGTGGTGCTCCTCTGAATGCTGGGTGTGAATTGAAATGACGCCCTAGGGGCAGTCGTTCCTTGATTTTAACTTTCCGACGGATGCCGGGTTGCCCGGACTGACGTTCTTATTCGTTTTTCCCAGGAATGCGGACGAACGCGGACAGGGGTATGAAGATAGCCTTATTCCGCTGGAGGCCGGCAGAAAGCTGAGCCAGCCGGAGTCTGGGTTCGCTGCACTGCCTGCCTTCAGTTTTGGATGTTTTTATCCACCTACTGACTCGGCCTCGGGGAAAAGTTCCTCCTCCGTATGAAGTGGACTGCGCTTCGGCTTGCTGTATCCAAGGCAGCAGGCATTGAATACAAGTCTGTGGGGACCAATGAATGGTGCTTTCTCAATTAAGTGATGTAGTATGTCTCCACCCCAAAAGAGTATGCTGGTCTCTGTCGGCTTGACAGTTGAGATGAGGACTGTCTGTTTTTTGCTTGCAAGCAGGCAACGCAAGCTTTCTTCAGTGCGTCCGCATGCAGCAGGAAGGATTGCCCAAGTAGTTGCAGCATACCAGAGTGATCATCTCGCCATGATGTCCCTGCGGTCCATCCTCGTCACCCTGATGCTGCTAAGCCCAGCCTTTGCTTCGGAGAACACCACAACGACATCGACCACGATGGACGACAACATGACGACAACCATGACCACAACCACCGGTGATTCCGGAGGCCAAATCTCCTTCGGCTACATGGCTGCGCCAGCGGCCGCAGTTGCTGCTGTGTCGTTTGGACACCTCATGAACGCTTGAAGGCTTCAATGAGCTGATGTCACCCCAAGTCTCGCCAGCTTGACGTCGTGCAAGGACACGCCCAGCTGGCGTCTGCGAATGGGTCTGCCCAAGGGACTTGGGCAATTCAATGCTGGTATTCGTGCCCGCTGGACTTGACCAATCTAAAGAAGGTTGTAGATGTTTGTTTCTGGTATTGAACGAAATGGGAGAGAAGTGCGAAATGTCAAGTTCAGTCGGCAAGGTAGCACCACGGCACCACGAGTTTGTTCAAGATGCACATGGTCCCACATGGTAACACACCTGGAGAAGGACCATTTTCCGCCATTGTCCGCGTACAACAAAACGGGGGGTTCATCATTTTTGTTTCACAAACTTGTAGCGGAATCAGCCCTCCCCTGATTGCACGGCCTACGCCTTGAGTTGCCCTACTGTGCTTTTGTTGCGTGCGTCATTATTAGATGTTTGAAGCTATAGTTTGTTTGCACCGGCTCACTGC